AAAGGTGTTGCAATTTTTGTTTAGGACATACTTTATTTGTGGTTGAATTTACTTGAAACTTGGTATATATATACTGTTTGATATTATTAATCAAATGAAAAGAGATTGCAACGTTTGCATGGGGTATATTTTATTTGTACCTACTCGGATGTACTCGAAGGTTGTTGAAATTAAGCAAATATGTGCTTTGGTAATTTTTAAAAATCAACCCTTAAGGATGAAATGTTGTTGCTACGTTTTGTATTTGAAGTCCAAGATGGCGACATTACATAAAATTAAAACGTTGTATAGGTGAATTGGGAGTTAAAAGGTTTTGTGGAGAAACAATATTAATTTCTGCGAGCGAACCCGCGGGGAAAAGCTAGTAAATTAAAAAATATCAAAATGCAAACTTTCCAAGCAAACAGAATTGAAAAATAACAATAAATCAAAAAATATAAAAAAAAGAAACAAAAAGGATGTCTGTTCTATTAATGACCATTGAAGGACCTACTATCCTTTCCTGTTCTTTTTGTAATTTCATACGCAATTTTTAGAAAGCAAATTGGCAGGAGACCGCGGTAGTCCCTTTATGCCGTCACCTTCAGCATAGTAATTTTCATTGAATTAATATTCAGAAAATGCAATTTCGATTTCCACTATCTTGGGCGTTTACGGAAGCCGCTGAAGCAATTAGTAAGTTAAGCGTTCGAAATGCAAACTAAATTGAGATTGCTATCGTTTGATAGGACGTTTGTGGTCGCAATTAGCTACATTTGAACGTTGAATTGCAATCCCGTCACCGGATTGTTAATTTCCAACTCCTTTTCGTACTCTACAAACGGAACGGTGCATCTGGACCACACCACTAATACCGGAACACCAAGTAATTAAAGATAGAGCAGGAGGGGGGAAATGCTCCTCTGTAAATCTGCTTCAGTTGACTTCTCCAACTATTTTTATTAATCAATAATTAACCCCTATTGAACCCCCACCGTTTAAACGTTACGCAAAATATCGGATATCCACTAAAATATTGTTTTGGGTTTTTTTTGACAAAACAGAATATTAAGTAACCCTTCATGTAACCCACCCTAAGCTTTAAATGACCCTCTTCCCCCAAAATGCCTAAAACTTGAACTCGAACTTGAGAAGTAAGGTCCAATAAGATCATTAATGGTGCTACTCCCCGAAACATAAAAACTTCACAACGTAGAAATAAAGAAATACATTGATGTGAAGAAAAGTTACTCAAAACTATACCAGAAATAAATAAAAATGTGCAAAATCTTTAACTGAATACTACTTACGGAAGCTTTAGCTTATACATCCATAAATACAGCCCATTTCAATTTGTTTGAATTGTGACCTTGAAGATATCTGCGCGAACATAGAAAGAATACACACTAGGCGTGAGCAAGACAGAAATAGTTGGAACAAGCTTGAACGAGCAGAGCTCTCGATGGGCGGTCTTAGGAGATCGGCTAGAACTGTACAGTACTAGACGAAAATGTTTAGCAATTTCTTAAAACAAAAATGTATATAAATTAACAATAGAAAACAAAGCAAAAGTTTTATAGGTGTGTAGAGCNTTTACAAAACACGACCTAATGGCGTCCTAATGAGATACAGAATTTAAAACAAACTCAGTAATTATCTTTTAAGCTTTTTAACAGTAGAACAGTATTTTTTCGACAGGAGCAGTCTATTGTGGCGCGTACATATAATGATAATAATGTTTTCTAACAGGAACCAAGAAGCAGTAGATAGATTTACAAATAGTACCAAAATATTAAATATATTAAATAAAAAAAACTGGTCAAGTGGGGGCCGGATTCCCGCACTGTCGGTTACATATTATTGAAATCCCTGAAAAATATTTTAGGATCCTTCAAATAGGCACATATCACCTGATCGCAAAACTTGTGAATTGGATATAGGAAGAAAATTGTTTATTCAGATCATTAAACGTTTCAAATAAATGAAAAATGTGTTGATAATGGCTTCCGCAAAGTGTTCTCGAGTAAAATCGAATAAAAGTTGGTAAAAGGTCGTAACAGCACCTCCAACAAGGATCTTCAAGTGTGTTTTCATTAGATACTTCCTGATAAAAACCAAATGTTTTATATAAAAACTATATTTGCAATTTTAGGGTAGAAATGCAATTTAGAAAATTGTACGAAAGCAGGAGGTATCAAAAAATTGGATTCCGGAATGAAAATTTATTCTCATCGATGAAAATGTATAAGTAAGACATTAATTCTAGCCTTCATTCGTCGCGTAGCCTAAAACCTAATCGAAAGGCTTATTACAATGAAGCAGTAAAGTTTTTATCTGCATACAATATCATATAATACAGGACAATGGGGTTGGTTTGCTTTTGAATCCTTTGTCGCTCCAGTGGACAACAATATTGTAACGTTATCATAACAATAGACTTATTGAAACGTTTGACATAATTTTCAGCTTGAATATATTGCAAAATAACAATCGAATTGATTAGCTGTTGTTGAACATCGGTGAATATTCCGTATACAAAGAGTATGTTTATATTATAAAGCAGCAAACAGAAACAACAAGCCTTTTGCTTTCACCTAATTGTTTAGCATGCAATAATGGGAGGCAATAATTGTTACCGATAAGCTATCAGCTTTTCCACAAATAGTAATTTATTGGGCTCATTTCGCCCACAAAGAGCAACTCTATAGATAACGTTTGTCGCACACGTAAACCGCTTGATAACTAAATGGCGTGTAGATATAAGAAAAGTACCTAATAAAATCGATATCACAAACTACCCATTATAAGTATCAATACACAAAAAAACAACAATTTTCAATGCTTGATATCCCAATCAGAAAATCCTCTTTCATCATAACCTTACTTAAGTCTATAGTGCACCCATGCAATTGGAGAAAACCTTTTCTAGGTGCCATAAGTTAAGACCCTTGCTACAACGCACTTTACACATAAGCCTATTAAAAAGTCCCCTGTCACCATAACCTAATTTAAAACCTTCGGGTCATACTATTTCACACAAGCCAATGAGAGAGGTCTCTCTCACCATAACCTGGCTTAAACCCTTAAAGCATATCACCACCATCATCACACCTCAAAGGTTTTCAATCATTTCTTTTTCCTAGAGTCCAGTGTCCATATTTCACACCCATACTAGACTACTTTGCGTTATCCCATATCTGTACCACTCCATCCCTCCTGAGTTATTTGAATATCCTAGACATCGAAAATCAACGACTTCTAAGTCTTTTTCTCTTATTTTATTGTTATCTCTTACCCTACTTTTTCTTCCCTTGCATTCCAGTATTTTTGGACAATTTGTATAAAAACCTTTTTTATCTATAACTCAAAACCCACTTTACGAATTACACTCGTTTATAAGAACAATATGAGAAAGACTGTGACGGATATAAGTAGGACCCAATTCTAAGTTGAAGTGAAGCCTGAATTTAAGCTCCAAATACATACACTTAAAGAATTTTATAGGCAACTTAGTATAACACTGCAGTTAGTGCGTTTGCCAAATAGGACAAAAATAAATTCGTTTTCTCCTTTTTGTTGCAGAACTGGAGAAGAGGACTTCTCTGGCAGCGCAATCGTGCAGCAGCGCCGAGCCAACGCTGTATAGTAGCAGTGTCACAGAGCTGGAGGAACTCCAGGAACTGCTGCACTTCCCAGAAGAGGTTGCACTGCGCTTGGCAGATAGCGAATATCGGTTATTTTATCAGGTAAATTTTATATTATTATTGGTCTAAATCTTCCCATCCACTTTATCGTATAAAAAGCAGAAACTGTGTGAAATTGATGATCCATTCTGCAGTAAAAACATCCATGGGACCCCCACGTGACTTTCTTTTATCACAGAAAAATAGCAAAGAGGCTTCAATTAAACTTTGAATATGACAAGGCATTTATATTTTAAATTTTATAAACTGTCTGCTAAATTTCAAAGAGAATAATATAAAAAGAAATTAAAT